AAAAAACTCTTACAAAGTTAAAAAAAAAAAATTCCCAGCATTCTCAGTATTGGGTTCAAGTGAGACTTCTGTGTTCATAAACAGAGACAATGTGTGCTATCAGAGCTGGTGCATGGGATTTGGAAGGTCAGAGTCTATAAACTGTAACACAAGTAATGAGAGATAAACATATTATCAGTTTACACCCAGCGTCTGCCGTAGCCCCAGGCTAACGTATTTCTACATTTTCTGACTCTCCTATTCTGGCTCCCCATAGGACTTCCATTTACAGAGGTTTATTTGATTCTTGAGTCTCAAGCTAAGCATTCTATGCCCTTTTAAAAAGTTCAAGAATTCTGAGATGAATTGTCCTCACATGTGAGAGAGCGAGGGAGGGAGCTCTTGCCCCTATCAAAATCTCCATGGGAAATGTTATAGATTACTCTCCTGACCATTATAGGAATCTAACCATTAAGTTTCAGGGAACTGTTCCTTATCTTTCATCATTCCATTTACCTTTTCTCTAACACTCAAAATATACTCTACTACCTACTTATCCCTTACCTTCTAAAAAAAGACAATAACTCAAAACTGTATTACAATATAGACTGTCTTCCCAAGGATTTGGGTTTTTTTTTTTTTAAGCATTTTTCTTCTTTAAATAATTTAGCCTTAATAGTGTTCCAGGAAACCAAATGGATACATTGGAAAATAGCTAGGTATGGAGAAAATACATTTCAGCTCTTGGGTAGGACTGGCCTGTCTCTCCAACCTTTTTTTCCTTTTAATCTTTTTATCATAAAATAAAACACAGAGGGGCGCCTGGGTGGCTCAGTCCATTAAATGTCCAATTCTGGATCTCAGCTCAGGTTATGATCTCATGTTTCGTGAGATCAAGCCCCACACTGGTCTCTGCGATGACCGTGGAGCCTACTTGGGATTTTCTCACAATCTCTATGCTACTCCCCCCTCAAAATAAATACATTAAAATAGAATAAAATAAAATAAGATAAAATAAAATAAAATAAAATAAAATAAAATAAAATAAAATAAAATAAAGTAAAATAAAATAAAACACAGAAACAGAAGACACTATAAAGGAAATATTTACCTTAAGAAATTATTCTAAGGCAAACACCATCCCCAGGTGAAGAAACTTTGCTACCTACCCTTAGAAGCTCCTTCCAAGGGTCCCTTCTCAATCATTTGCTACCACCAGCACCTTGTAAGTAACCATTATCCTAAGTTTTATAGCATCACTTTCATTTCCTTTTTTCTTTAATGATTTTTCCACCCAAATGTTCACTCCTAGACAGTATAGTCTCTCCCTTAACACACAAAACACAGTTAAAATTTTTTTTTGATATATCTTTTAAGTCATTTTTTTTATTAACTTTATAATCTTGAAGAACGGAGGCTCTTTGACTTGTAGTTTCCCATAGTGAGGACTTTGCAGATTCATGATCATGATACAGTTCAACATATTCCTGGGTTTCCTACAAACTGGCAGCTGGATCTCAAGTCTATATCAGATTCAGGTTTGATCTCTTTAGCAGCATTTTAAGTGGTGGTGTGGTCTTTCCTCAGGAGGTACATAATGTCTAATTCTCTTTTTATGATCCTAGCTGTTAAGGCCTAATGCCTATATTAATTCACAGGGAGTTACGAAACTGGGATATTCTATCATTTCTCTTTTACTTAATAGTGGAATACTCTTACCCGGATTCACTTTCCCTTATCTCTTACTTGGTTACCCAAATAACCAAATTTAACTTTTTAAAGTTGAAAGCCTGCCATCATCGGCTACATAATTCTTCTGAGATCCTACCTTTGAGTTGTGGCTACATGTTTTGTTGGATTTGTAGATGAGACATTGTAAGTGAGACTAAAAGGCTTACCGAAGTTGTATGTAAAGCAGATATATACCAATAAAGATCCAGTAGCAAATTCCAGCCACTAAAAACTTAAAATTCATGATTCTTTGGTTGATTATGTTTTCAAGGTCCACTCTTCGTTTCCTTTGTGACTTTCATGAAGAGATTGTTAACAAAGGTGAACTGATAGAAGTGAAGGAAAAACGATTCTTGTGAATATATTTTGGGTTAACTGCAGGGTTCCGGCCCCTCTCCAGAAAGTCAGAAATTAAATAGCTATTTACATCTACATTTGAGCACAATTTTGGACTTACAAATGAAAGTGATTAGTCTTTTAAAAAGTCTTTTTTTTTGTACGTCCGCAGTGATCTAGAAATCATACAACCTAAATCATTTAGTTTTTAAAAATGCAAATATAATTACTTTGAGAGTGCAAAAATCTTGGGATTTTTGCATTGTTTTTACATTTGCTACATATGATGTACTATGTAAAAAGGATAATTAGTTTCTTATACAATAACTGATAATAGTTATTGCTTTGAAAATATTTTCATTCTGAGATACAATCAACCTTAAACGGTTCGGTGTTAACAGCTGAAGGCATTTAAGGTGCTTCCTAGAGGCACTGAGGAGTTCAACTGGAGGCAATTATTAGAACTGCCATATGCTCAGTGGATGCCGAGCAAGAATTTGGGGGGCAAATGATATAGATTCTCAGCCCACCAGCACCACTTCATAGTTTAATGACCTTAGATTCTTGTTTATGTCTTGTTTTCTTCATTTGTAATCTGAGTAGTAAAATCCATCTCCCAGAGTTGGTTGAGAATTTTAAGCAATGTAAAATAGTGGAAAAGGTGCTTTGTAAAATTTACTGGCAGTAGATATCATATTTAAGGAGACTCATCACAGTTGATCAGATAAACTGTATCGCCTTCTGAATTAGCCATTACGGAAATGGAAAATTCCAGGTCTGCCAATGTGACATTAGAAAGGGTTTTCAGCTTCAGATATGAATGCTTCTGAGAGATTCATGTTTGGAGATACATTAACTTATAAATAAATGATAAAAATCAGCATAAACCAGTGCTTTCTGTGAATATACATTTCTCATTTTTCATCTCCTTGGTGTCTACCCCAAAAAAGTGCTAGATCTGATATTCTATTCATTATATGAAATTATAGGCAAAAAGAGAACAATTTAGTCTTAACTATTAATTAAAAGATGCAGTCATTAGCCTGTAATGACTTGTCTGACTTTTGTGCCAGATTTTTGTATATTACAAGTCTGCAGAAAAAGTTTTCCAGAAAGGAAGCATAACATTGTACTTTATAGAAATGGAAATAAAGGCATTAGTTTGAACAATCCTCTATGTTACTTTGGTTGTAAAGTTTGGATCCTAAGATTGTCTAAGACCTCTAAGATCCAATTATAATGAAAAATGTATAGCTTCGGTTTTCAAAATTAAAGTTATTGACCCTGACAATGCAATTTTGCTATACAAGTATCCAGCAACCATTTGCAACCTATTGGAATGAGAATCAAAACAGTTTCCTCATATTCCTTCCACTTCAATTCTAATCCTAATCTTTAGCCCCAAATTAGTTTCCAGAGACTTTTGTAACAAAAAAAGTTGACTCAGAATTTAAGAAATCATGCTATTAACGTATATGGTTTTCAACAATTATAAAATAAAGCAGTTTGCATAATCAATATAACTCTATAACTTTTAAAAACACAAAAGCCACTAGAAATGAGGACAATAGGGGCACCTTGGTGACTCGGTTGAGCATGGGACTCTTGGTTTCTGGAGGGGTCGTGATCCCAAGGTGGTGGGGCTCTACACTGAACATGGAGCCTGCTTGGGATTCTCTCTCCTCCTCTGGCCCTCTCCCCTGCTCTCTCTCCCTCTCTAAAAAAAAAAAAAAAAAAAAAAAAAAAAAATTAAAGTCAAGACAATAAGGATTGATGCTATTTCTTTCCTTTATGTTTTCAGCACCCGTTTTATAGAACACGGACCATACATTGCTTTTCGGGTGTTGAAATATTTTACTAGCACAACCAGTTTTCCAATAATCTGCTTCTGTTGATTTAATGTTTATTTATTTTTGAGAGAGACAAGAGTGTAAACTATGGGCAGAGGGGAGCCACAGAATCTGAAGCAGGCTCCAGGCTCCCCACCCCCCCCACTTCCTTTGGCCAGAACGTATATCCAGGATAGTTTTTAAGCAAAACGTGTTTAAGGACCTCCTGTTATTTTACATGCACCCCTTCCCCCCCAAACGCTTGGAGAGATCGGGGCTCCACAATTCTCTTTAAGTATTGCTGTCCTGGGGCTTTATGAAGATTATTTAACAACCCAGGTAACTAGTAAGAATCCTCTCGTTTTATACCCTTAATAATTGAGAGGGGGCAGCTCAGAAATCGAATCCACCTCAGCTGCGCTGGAGTGAGAGCGTCCTCCCACGGACAGGCGTGGTGGGGGGGGGCGTGTCGGGAAAGAAAGAGGACACCTCTCCGCGGCCGCCCCGGCGGCGGGCCGGGAGCCCGGCTCTGGCGCCCGCGCGCCGGGGACCTTAATGCGAAGCGCGATCAGCCGCGTACGCGCCGGCCAGGGTGGCGGCGTTACACGGCCGGTCCCCGCGGCGGCTCCTCGCGGCGCGGTGTGCGCGCGCGCCTCCCGGGCGGGTTCGGGCCCCGAGCGCGAGAGCGCGGCGGGAGCGTCAGGTAAGTGGCGGCGCGGGCACCCGGTAGGGCGAGTGTGGCGGCGGGCAGGGCCCGGACTCTGCCTTTGTGGCGGGGGGAGGGGGGCATCTCCTCGGGCCGCCGCTCGGGCGGACGCCCGCCGAGTCGGACCCCAATTGAAAGGCCGCGGGGGACTGAAATCCCCGGACGAAAAATGTCCGCAAGTGGGTTTCGGGCGCCGGTTTTTGTGCGGAGGATAAAGTCTTACAGTCCGCGGAAGGGGGTGGCACCTTCTCAGGAAATCGCTAGCGCAGCCGTGGGGACAGCTGAAGTGTAACTTGACTGTTTTCTGCAGGCCTGTGGTGCTTTCGTCCCGCCGGCAGAGAAATGACGATAAAGCCCCGAGTGTTTACTGATAACGCGTTTGCAGACGCGTTTTTGTTGGTTGGTGGGTTGGTTTCTGGCGGTGAGTCGAACTCTTTACAAATTAGGTAGTTGGTCGCACTTATCAAACTCTGCCTGAAGCGGAGAGTGCGTTTTGCTCGCACTCCACCCCTGCTTCGGAGTCTTCTCTGCCGCTGGCTTTTCGTTAGTAGCTCTGAGTGCAGAAGCGCCGGGCAGAGCATCTGGGTGATCTTTTCTTTCAAGTGAAACCATGCTCTTTATAGCAGCGACTTCAGGTTTACAAGCCTCGTTCTGCACTAGCAACAAACCTCTTCGATTTTGGACTGTGTGATTCTTAATTGAAAAATTCCTGCGTTGAGCCGGTTTGTTTTTAAACACGAAGCCAGTGAACAAACAAAATGGGATAAACAAGGCCGTGGAGGAACTGGTTAACCAGTTCGTGAAAATGCATTTTCCAGGTCCTTACATTGTGCCCCCGTTAGCTGTTGAGCAACTAGCTGCAGCTGCGTTAGTTAACCTGCGAAACGGAGGGGTTTTTTTTAATGGTCCCCCAAAACAAAGTGGTGTAGTCGAACGTAGAGAATCCGGAGTCCAAAGAACCTCACCCCAATCCCTCTCACCCCCTCATCCCCCAATTCTGGGGCAATAGTTCACTAGTGTAAGTTTGCTCATAAAAATGCCAGTACCACTCCCAGAATTTGGGTTCTAGGGATTTGTGATGGGTCCCTGAAACTGCACTTTAAGCAGGCACCCCCTTCCTTGGTCTGTTATACCACACTTTAAGAAACACCACCTTGGGGCTGCCCTGAGAATTTTTAGAACTGTCCAACTCCCTTACCCCTTTTTTGATTTACTCTCCCTTCCCCTCCCACCAGTCCTAAGCCAAGAAGCCGGCTTCTCCAGAGGGAAACTTAAGAAAAGGTAGTGCTGGGGCGCCTGGGTGGCGCAGTCGGTTAAGCGTCCGACTTCAGCCAGGTCACGATCTCGCTGTCCATGAGTTCGAGCCCCGCGTCAGGCTCTGGGCTGATGGCTCGGAGCCTGGAGCCTGCTTCCGATTCTGTGTCTCCCTCTCTCTGACCCTCCCCCGTTCATGCTCTGTCTCTCTCTGTCCCAAAAATAAATTAAAAAACGTTGAAAAAAAATTAAAAAAAAAAAAAAGAAAAGGTAGTGCTTTCTTGGACTCTGACACCAGGGTAGGAAATGACTTCCATACATATTCTGATACTGCCTTGGTGGGTTAGAGATAGCCAGCGCCTATTAATCTGTGCTTTTTCCTTCTGGGGGCTGCTTCGAGTATCATCAGAATTTAAGCAACACCATTAGGCCACATCTTCTCATCCCAGTCTGACCATTAGAACCAGGGCAGCCAGTGCCATGTAATTCCTGTGGCCTTGAGTCCTCAGAGTTCATGGTACCTAGCAGTACTGGTAGCATTTATGAGGGCTTTCAGGTCAGCTGACCTCTAATTCAGTCATCAGATACCCAGGTAATGCCTGTTTTGTGCAAAGCCCTGGAGGAGGCCACTTGAGCAACAACATTGCAAAGATGGCACACAGTTGGATTGCTCCCTGGAGACGAAAATGAGGACTGAGTAACCTGTGCCCCTGAAAGCTTCTTCTGTTTCTTAGATCCTCCTGAGATAGATACGAAGGGGTGAGGTTAGAGTTAGGTGGTTTGACATTTTTCTGGTTTTGGTGTCTTTTTTTTGGTCTCCTCTCATTAATCTCTTTCTGTTGGCTTACAGAATGTCAGTGTCTTTTCTTCTATAGCCCTGGGCTTCCTGATTACCGTGCCTTCCCTCTGCCCCTGAATCTGACCATGCCTGTCCCTACTTGGCTAACTGGATAAAAAGTTTAGGGAAGTTGTTGGAATGCTGAATGACCTCTTGCGGGAAGACCCAGAATCATGGAAATCAGAGGCTTTGAGATCTAAGGAAACCTATTACAAACTTACATAGTGGAGTCCTCATCTTTCAGGTAAAGAATCTGAGCGATGAGGTGGCAGAGGAAAGGACTCCTGGCTCCTAGCTGAGTGTTCTTCCACTAAATCATCTCAAGACAAATGCTTCAAAAATGGAAAAGGTTGAGAGAAATTCAGTTATAAGTAGATGAAGAAAATGGAAAGACTTCCACATGACTACAAAAGTAGTGTTTTCTGGAAAAATGGAGATTGAACGAGGATCTGATCTAAACATACAAATCATGAAGAGTGGGAGTACTAAAATAAGGACTCTGAAGCTGGAAATAAGTAGTAAAAGTTCAAATAAAAGCAAAAAGTTACCTTGTACTCCCCAAAGACATTACAAAATTAGTATTTTTTTTAAAAAAATTCAGTTAAGCTTAAGATATTGGTGAAATTTTATTAAATAGTAGATGTTTGAGCAATGTCCAGAATGTTTTGAAGTTGTCACATAACTGTACTGTTGTCCTTATCAAAGTTACTAAGTATTCTGTGGGAGACAGAATATAAAACTGATACAATCTGGTTAAATATATTTTCATGAGGGAAATGAGGTTATTGGGGTAGTATATGCATTTCTGGAAGGTAGAAGGAAAGAGGTATGTATGCAAAAAGAGAACCTTTTGATATTTTTGCTTGCAGTCCCCAAGTTAAATATTATTGGACTGTTCTTGTATATTCATGAAAGAATTAGAAGAGCCAGTGCTTAATAATTAGACATTATTATGTGCCAGACACTGTACTAAATGCTTTTACATCCGTTCTTGTATTATCTCCATTTTATAGTCAAAGAATCTAAGATACAAACAGCTTAAGTTTGCCCAGAGTCTGTTCAGACTTAAATCTGCCTGCCTCCAAAGGCATTAAGATTTATGCTCACTTCATTGGGTAGTAGTTAAGAATGTGGTAATTGAAGCCAGGCTTTCCTGGGTTCAAATCCCGGCGCCTTTATTTACTAACTTGTATAAAATACTCCTCAGTTTCTATGTCCCTGAAATAGATATTGTCATAGGTACCTACCTCAGAGGGTTATTAGGGATGAATTAATTTATGTAAAGAGCTTAGAACTGTGCCTGACACATAGTAAATTCTCAGGAAATAAATGTTGGCTTTGGTTTTGTTTGTTTGTTTGTTTAATTTTATTTCAAGGTATTCTTTAGATTCAGATTGTGCTTTCTACTCAGGCTTTATGATAAGTATAGATGTAAATTTTATCTCTGTTCTTACTAAAACCGGGGGAACCTTGCTAAAATTTTAGAAAATACTGGGTACAAATAGTGCAGAGATCTGTGACTGGGACCAGAGGGTTTGGTTTCTATTTGTTTCATAGAGAAGGTTGTAAGGATCAGATGAAGTAAATACAAATAAAATTTAAATTGTATATGCTATGCAAATGAGAAATACTGTTATTAAAATTAGAGAGCAAAGTTGCAGTATATTATTGAGATTATTAAAAGAACATTTAACTTCCTTAAAACAGGTAGTGATCTATAACTCTATATGAAGATCACAGTCTACCATAAAATCATCTAAGATTCCTTCCATGTGTTTATTCTAAATCTCTTTTTTGGTGGTAGAGCATGAAATAGAATTTTTGCAGTTGTTTCTGTATATAAGTTTGCTAGGACTACCTAAAAAGTACCACAGACTAACTTAACCAACAGAAATTTTTTTCCTACAATTCTGGAGGCTGGAAGTCTGAGATCAAGATGTCTGCAGGATTGGTTTCTTCTGAGGCCTCCCTCCCTCCTTGGCTTATAAATGGTTGTTTCTTACTGTGTCTCCTGTGGGCTTCCCTCTGTGTATGTCTCTTCATGTCCTCTTCTTAAAAGTCATACTGAACTAATGACTTCACCCTAATGACTTCATTACCTCTTTAAAATCTTACTTTCCAAACACTCACATTCTGAGGATTTAGGAGTTGGGACTTCAGCATCAGAATTTTGAGGGGAACACATTTTTTAGCTCATAACAGTCTGTTTAGAGAATTATATGCCAGGTAATCACAGTGCTCCATTGCCCTCATTGTTGAGCACCCAGTGCCCCGGGGCTGAAGCAACATCCTTTATCCTGTGCCTGCCTACCTATCCTACCTTCCACCCGTTACTTAGAACCATGCTTGCAGTTGAGTACCCTAAGAAACACATGCCTCTGCATGAAATCATTGCATTTGGATTTAAAGCAAATTATTGTCATCCTGTCAAATAATTTGCTTAAGAAACTATTCCACATATTTTAACCTAGTAAATTCCTTATTTGTTTCGTAAGCATATTTGTTCTTTCATCTAAATTGAAAAATTTCAAAATCTCTTATGTAGTAATATTTTCTTTCTCTTAAACTGTCTTAAGCTTAAAAAAAAAAAAGTTCTGGGGCGCCTGGGTGGCTCAGTCAGTTAAGCGTCCGACTTCAACTCAGGTCACGATCTCGCGGTCTGTGAGTTCGAGCCCCGCGTCAGGCTCTGGGCTGATGGCTCAGAGCCTGGAGCCTGCTTCCGATTCTGTGTCTCCCTCTCTCTCTGCCCCTCCCCCATTCATGCTCTGTCTCAAAAATAAATAAACGTTAAAAAAAACATTTTCTTGAAGAGTTCCCTGTTTTTACAGAGAATGTTTTCCTTTTTTCCCATTTTAAAAGTAATAACACTTATCTTAGAGACTCAGGAATATTCAATAAAATACAA